TCATCATGTGACTGTGACCAGTCACTAATTTGATTTCCAGTCCTCTTGTCTCCCTGGAGAATGAAGAATTAGACTGAAGATTCCAAGCGTCCAATCAGCGCTTGGTTTTTCTGGTGGCCACCTCCATATAGAAACCCACAATGAGTCACCCCATAAGAGCCAAAGATGTTTCTAGCACCTGGAAATCCCAGGAGAATTAAAAGTTTTGTGTTGAGAACTGGGCTCAAAGACCAAATAGGAGAACAAAAAATACTCTATTCATTCCAGTTACTCAGGAAACTGCAAGAGTTTTAGGAGCTCTGTATCAAAAACCAGGCAAGAAGACTAAATGTGTATTATATTCTATCAGTCTTCTGATCCCACCCTAACCCCCTAACCTGGCCCTTGTGGGGGCTACTTACCCACTTTCTTGTCTTTCTCACTCAACTAATGAGTTCCTATGTCTAGCACTTGGTACCTAGCACTTAGTACCCACCACTTAGCATCTGGAACCTAACATCTAGCACTTGGTTCCCAGTGCCAAGTACCAATATCCAGCACCTCCATAAACAGAACTTGCAAGATCAGACAGTGATTTTAAACACCAGTGAAGGGTACAGAAATGAGGAGGAAGGAGGATTTCAGTCAGGAGCATTGGAGGCAGAAATAAGCTTTTGAAGACAAGGAGACAACTGATAGTTCAGAGGCATCCATCTTACCTAGTGGAATGGGCCTGAAAGTCATTATTAGGTTCCTGCCCAGCTAGAGACCTTGATTACTATGAGGCCTTAAAGGGAAGTGTTTTGGTGGCCTCATCTGGGAAGAGTTCTGAGCTGCCTAGAGACTGTAGGCAATTGACTTGTTCCAGTACCTGGCACTTGGCTCACAGTGTATTCACAGCTAAAACTCCATTAGTGTGAGTCAGGTGGATGCAATCAATTGCAACTTTAAAACACGCGCGCACATGTGCGCGCGTACACACACACACACACACACACACACACACACACACACACACACACACGCGCCCACACACAACCACACACACCCACACACACACAATACATAAAGAAAAATGTAAAAAATATTTAAAATTTCCCCGAGGTGAGATATCGCTACTTTACTTACTTTGCCTGTCAGTCTGCTCCCATCATCAGAAGGGATAGAGCTGTGGAACCATCCAAAAGGCCCAGAGAAGACATGACAGGTAAAGAACAAGCTCAAGGTCAGAGACCTGAAAACACTTCCCCATGGAAGCAGCAGTCTGCCACCTCACAGAAATCCCAGGCTGAAGAGAGGAATCTAAGGAGCAATGCCCAAGTGAGGACCTGACTCCTGACCCCAGGATACAGATACTCTCAAGCCTGGGTACTGCTAGACTCCTCTCATTCCTACAGCAACCTGAAGAAGTCAGAATTATGTGCTCCACTTCACAGATCTGGAAACTGCAGCCCCAAGTGAGAAGGAATATTTC